GGTTCTGGTGGTTGGGTAGAGTAACTAGTAGTCTGATGTCACGGGGAGGCTGAGCCCAGAAATAAAAAGGTAAAAATCCCAACGTTTGAAACGCAGTGTGGCACACTTCTGTATCCACAAAGACTTTTGGGAGTCATTAAGGTTAATAGAGTGACAGCATGTGAGTGCTTTATACCTGCCAGTGTGTGTGTGCGTGTGTGTGTGTAATGGAGAGAGAGGAGTCAGTTTTCCGAGGGTTCTTCAGGCTAATTGTTCTTCAGAATGACTCTTCTGTTTTAATAATAACATAAAAATAATGAGCCCAGTGTGCTCCTTTAATATCACTCAAGTGGGACGTTTGATGCAAAAACCCAGAACACTTGAATAGTTTTTAATAGCACCACACAGTGGAAGGTGGTGGTGGTGGTGGTGGTGGTTGTGGTGGTTGTGGTGGGGGGGGGGGGTTCTGCTCTGGTACAAGTCTAAGAAGTATCTCCTGGTACTGTATAGAACCCCTTGAGCTTGAGCTGTGTGTCCAAATCTGTAGCCCATACAAACGCAGCGTAGCACTCTACTGCAGCCTCTGGCGACTGGTGATAAGGCTGGAGGGGGCCGACTCCCACGCTGAACCCTCAGAGTGCCGTGAAGCTTTTGGGGCAGGCTCTGTGACCACTTTGATTAGGGGATAATAAACCCATTTATAGAGGGCTTTCAGGTGACGTAACTCGCCTGAGAGGAGATAAAAGCCCAGAGTCGCCCCCCCCCCCCTTCTCCTCCTGCTAAGCTCTTATTTCTGGGTGCCACCAAATATCATCACAAACTGCAGGAAGAGAGGAGTTTGCTCTGGGTGTAAATCCGGCCGTGTGGAAAGTGGCGGTGACTTTTAAAAGTGTAATATCTGGGTGAGAGGTTTTGAGGAAGAGACCAAACACTCCGGCTGCTGAAGGCTTTGTGCACGTGGAGTGAACCTGCAGGAAGGAGCAGGTCACGTATTTGGTTACAGAGCAGAAGGTGAAGCAGTTTTTGTTGTTGTTGTTGTTGTTGTTGTTACTATTGATTCAACAGTAAATAACACCGACAGCGTTAGTATTAACAGATATCTTTTATGGTCTTTGTAACGTTCCCCCCGGCGATCCGTCGGCAGCTCCGTGGCTCGACCGATGTCGACCCCGGGTGACTCCGCTCCTCACCGGCAACAAATCTGGCGGCTTTCTCGGGCCGAGGGGAACAGTTTTAATGTGATGATGTGTTAACTTCCAGAGCAGTAAAACCCGTCACTCCTGAAGCACCGCAGCAAGTCTGCCGCTCAGCTCGCAACACAAATACCTGCCGTATGTCCGAAGAGAAGGTAAACTGTGGAACCAATGACTTCCCCAGTGGAACTCCTCCTCCGTGAATTGTAGCAGAGCTGTAACAGTGAGAGGCCTCAGCTTATTGATTACCTATCGATCGTCACTGAGGATATATTGTTGGAGGTCAGAGAGGCGACGGACCGCCTCGGAGTGTGTGCAGTAGTTTGCTTAAAGAGCAACTGAGCAACTTGTTTAAGCATTCCCTGCGACCTTTGACCCCCTCCCCCCTCACCTCCGTCCTCCATCACGTCCAGTGTCTGTGTCTCTCCCTCTGTCTAATTTAAATGTTTTAATACCTACATATAGATTTTTAAAAAACAAACTTGATGTTCATCAAGAATTCATGGCTGCATAAATAACTGTGGTTTTAGTGTGAAAGCTGTGACAGTGACTCCAGCGACCTCGAGTCTCAACCCTCGCTGGCGGCTAACACGGTTGAACTGCTAGCTTACCGTTAGCTTAGCAAGGCTTCAGCAGATTCAGCAGAGGAGGAGGGTGACAGAGCTGAGGTGGGGGGGTGGGGTGGGGGGGGTGAACTGAAGAGAATCACTGGATTTACTCCGGAAAAAGGGAAAATAACTTGTGTTGTAATGAACACTGTAAAACTGACAGTGGAGGAAAGTGGCTGTAAATTTCTACATTTACTTTCTATAAAACAAACGGGCCGAGAGAGTGAAGTCACTCTTTAAAGATGTTGTGGATCGTTTGGACTTAAGTCTGCAGGGTGGAGACCCCCCGGAGGTCCCCGGACCACACTTTGAGAACGCTTCACAAACAGGGAGTTATGCATCACCAGGTGTGTTTTTGGTGCAATTTAAGTGTCCATATATGTGCTCTGTGTGTGTGTGTGTGTGTGTGTGTGTGTGTGTGTGTGCAGGAGTATTAGTATAACTCTCAGATATTAGGCCCTGTCATGTTCAGTAAATAGCCATTCATCATGCATGCCTTTCTGTGTGATGGTACCCACAAGATCCAATCCATTAACCATGCGCTGGGTGTCCACTCACAATGTGATAGTGTGTGTATGTGTGTGTGTGTGTGTGTACATGCATATCATAATTTATTATAATGCATAGGGAGTTCTGACACGAGAGAACGTGCATGTGTACGTGCACGTTGGAGAGAAGTTGTGGAGACAGAATTCATGTATTTTCAGTCGTAATTCGATATAATCACATTATAATAATAGTGACCAGATTCAGCTTCACACATGCAGCATGTTTCTGACTGTGTGTGTGTGTGTGTGTGTGTGTGTGTGTGTGTGTGTGTGTGTGTGTGTGTGTGTGTGTGTGTGTGTGTGTGTATAACAAGGCAGAGGATTGATGGATGATATGTTAAATTGATAATGACGCTGCACAGAGACGCACTATCCTTGACTTTCACCCATTTTCTCTCTCACCCTGGGGAAACACCCCCCCCCACTTTCATCTCTACACTGCTCACTCCACTGTTAGCATGTGGAGCGTGTGGACGCACAAGCCCACAGCAGGAGGTTGTAACGTATGAGAGCTCAACGCCTCCGTCCGATGTGCAAGAACCAACCAGTAGGAGGCGCTAGAGCGGCGACGAGGCAGAATGTCTGTTTGATGATTCTGTGAAACCCAGGATTTAAATACAGTATGTTTATTGAATGTTGAATTTATTTTGATAAAATCCACTAAAGCAGAGGGCCCCCCCCCATCTGATGATAGGCCTCTTTGCTTTTAGATGTTTAATCACAGAAAGTGTTTGAAACCTACGAGGAAACTAGTCGTCCATTCTGTCATTGTGTTGCTTTACTTTGAGAACCGCTGCACTGCAGGATGGCGAGGAAACTGAAACACGTGCAGATTAGAAATTGTGGGGGGGGGGGTTTACAGGAAGCTGTTCCGTCCTCCAGCACACAAATTGGACTCACTACACTACACTCCCATCCACCACCCTCACCTGCACGCCCTCAGCACACCGCGCTGTCGTTAATTTTGTGCAGCGGACATGACCACATGACAAAATTTATGTCTCGCAGGCCCCTCGCACTTATATGGAAAGTTTAATTCAGGCTCTACTTTTTCCGCCTCTCTACATGACACTGAACCATAAATCATACACTTGTAAATTATTCCGTTATCCTCCTCGTCTCTGCTTACCTGTGAAAACACCAACTTCTTATTTCTCTCTTTAATTTCGTCTGTGTTTTTTTCTTCTTCTTCTTCTTCTTCTTCTTCTTCCCTCTTTTCTTATCTACACTCCCATAAGGCGAGAGAGAAAGCTTGTTAAAGACATCAGTGCTGAGGGTTGCTATTCCAAGAGGAGATAGCGGATCAATTTTCACAGATCGCCTTCACAGCTTTCAGCAAGTTCACTGTGCCTAGCCACTGAAAACACGCACACACACACACACACACACACACACACACACACACACACACACACACACAAACACACACACATAGA